GAGGAGCACTAGTGTGAAGTTCCTACTCTAAGTCAGGTTGGGTTTTTTCCTCATCACTTTGCAGCACTCAACATCACACTGTTTGGTGCTACTTCTGTGGGGTTCAGGGTGTCCCCACCCCTTCCTCCTCTTTCTGTTTGGAGCCCACTTTGATCTGTGTTCGAAATGCTTTCTCTTCCCCCCCCCCTACCAATCACCTGCTTTTTCATTGAGAAAACATTATTAGTATTCCAGCAGTGCTGGGATGGCTTTTATCTCCCAGCGGAATCTCATTAGCTCTGCATTACAATAGGAACAGCATATGTCTGCTATGCCCAAGTAGCCAGTCAGTTTGAATTTGTTAATGGCAACACTTTATTTTCCCCCACAGCAAAGTTTTCCCCACATCTTCAATGCTAATAATACCCCCAAAAAGCAACTTTGTTGTGGAAGCGTTAAAAAGAAAAAAGAAAACACCACAAAATCAATTCGTTGGAGGTTGAAATGTAGCAGAAGGAGAGCTGTTGCTAACGGTTTGCTTTTATGTGTGCCTGTTACGTAACTAGGAATCTAAGCATGCTGTGTGAAGGGGAAAACTAGGGCATGATAGATAGCTTGCAAGTTAGAATGGGAATAAGCTAATTACTGGCAGTTGGAAGAAAGACAGTGTGCAATTATACTGTGGCTTTTTAAGACTTTTTATTGTGCGTGTCTGAATATACCAGCTTTTCTCAACCTGGCGCCCTTCAGGTGCTTTGAACTACAACTCCATCGTCTGGATCCATTCAAAGCACCCTGGAGGTTGTGGAAAGGCTAGCATACATGTTAGAGGTAGTATACATTTTGTGGATGAGGTGGGTCTTGTTGATCTCATCTAACTTCTATAGCAATGGAGGGAAACTTATGTAGGAAATGCTAAATCAGGAGCTGAGCACAAGCGCCCTCTCCCCTCCCAGAGTTTCCAGAAACCAGTATTCAGAAGGATTACTGTACTGCTTCTATCCACGGAGGCAGAGCATAGCCATCAATTCTAGTGGCCACTAATGGCCTTCTCCATGGATTTGTCTAATCCATTTTTAAGGTCCTCTTGGTTGGTGGCCATCATTGCTTCCTGTAGGAGCGAGTTCCATAGTTTTAACTATTAACTCTGTGAATATGTCCTTTCTTTTATCTGTCCTGAATCTTCAGCTTTATTGGGTGTCCACAAGTTTTGGTATTGTGAGAGAGGGAGAAAAACTTTTCTCTACCCGCTTTCTCCATGCCATGCATACTTTTATCAATTTGTTATGCAAGTTTCATCCCAGTAAAACCATTAGGAGGGGTAATTGTCCCAAGCCCAGTGGGTGGCTACTTCACCACCTCTGTTTCTTTAAGATATCCATGCCTCAGCTTTTGGGGTATAACCCTGACAAGGCAGCTCACAACAATGAATAAATACAATACATTCTGGCATTGCAAACCTGCTCTCCCTCCTCTCCTATTTGCTTTGAGAGATTGGTGGTGACTTGCACCTTTCCCTGCATGGCATCAAGTCCATCCTGATCGAGGCCAGGCCTTAAGTGCTGTAGTGCAGTAGCAGTCGGTCATCCAAGATACTCCCGCCTCCCTTGCTAGCATATAGAGGGGTAGATGACACAACAAGGTAGAGACAGAAATCGCCTTTGCCACAGCATGATCACAGCATGGAGGAGAGACATAGTTTAGCGGTAGAATATCTGCTGTGCATGCAGAAGGTCCCAGGTTCAATCCCCATTGGCATCTCCAGGTACGGCTGTGAATGTCTCCTGCCTGAAACTTTGGAGAGCTGCTCCCAGTCAGTATAGGCAGTACTAAGTAGACCAATGGTCTGTTCAGTACAAGGCAGCTTCCTGTGTGTGTGTGTATGCTTTTTATTAGTTTTCTTGCTTAACAAACACACCCAAGAAATTAACAAAAATGATAAAATAATAACAACAAAAACAAAACATACATCCATAAATCCATACATTCTTACAAAATAACTTATGCCGCCATGTTCTTAATTCCCAATTCCTTATCTTCCCCAATAGACTTCCGTCTTCCTCAAAGTGGATCTGTCTTATCTGTTTAATAAACTGCTTCAAAGGCAGCTTCCCATGTTCCTTTTATTTCTGGAAGAGGCCAAAGACTAATGAGAAACAAAGCCCTCCTGGTGCAGTGAGTCAGGGCTTTTCTAGATACAGGAAAATAAAAAGGGTAGGAAAACAATGGGACAAAGAAGATGTGTGTAGCAAAAGGAGGACCCAGTGATGAGTCCCAGCCTTGTGATGTAAAGGAACAAGGATCCACCCAGCCTCCTCAAAAGTCTGGGATTATTGAGACTCCTGGGATACTCAAGAGCTGTCCTTCCCACCTCAATAGGGAAAAGACTCCTTCCCTTCCATTGTGTGCATCTTGGCTTAGTTTTCTAAAACAAGGGGCAGAAACAAGATGCTTTTCTAAGACAAGCCTTTGGCCCTCCAGATGTTGCTGAACTACAGCTCCCATTATCCCTGGCCATTGGCCATGCTGAGCTTGATGGGCATTGTAGTCCAGCAACATATTTGACCTACACCAATATATGATAGTGCCTCTTCCTAATCTGTAAGGCAGACTGAGGTGTGTGTGTGTGTAAATCCATTGCTCTGGACTCTACTGCAGCTGGTCTCATTCACAACTGGCATGCAACAGCCAACCTGCAACAGTGTTTCTCATGTCAGCTTGCAAGCAAAATATTTTTTGAAGGAAAATACATGTCAACCACTTGAAACACCAGGGGACTGGTTTCCTCCTCCTGTTCACTTGTTGCATTACATGGGCCAACAAGGATATCAACTTCATACCTTTGGCGTGCGTGTGTGTGTTTTAAGCAACAGCAATTCCTGGTTGTTGTTTTTAAAGAAACAGCAGCAATTCAGGGGGATGTGGAGTGTAGGGAATGTGACAGAAGAGAACTTGCAAAAGCTGTAATTGTGGCAGAGCTGGGGATTTTCCTCTATGGTGCTTTTTCCCGCTGCTTGTTAGTGATTCCACAAAGCTGCACTGGGCTTCATTCATGGAGCCACAGCCAAGAGGGAATTAATCCCCTCTTCATTGCTATCATAGCCTAAAACACAAAACCCTTGATGTAGCTGCTTTCTCAATATGCCATCGTGTGCTGCTTTCCCCTTAAAGGTAAAGGTACCCCTGCCCGTACGGGCCAGTCGTGTCCGACTATAGGGTTGTGCGCTCATCTCACTTAAGAGGCTGGGGGCCAGCGCTGTCCGGAGACACTTCCGGGTCACGTGGCCAGCGTGACGAAGCTGCTCTGGCAAGCCAGCACCAGCGCAGCACACGGAAACGCTGTTTACCTTCCCGCTAGAAAGCGGTACCTATTTATCTACTTGCACTTAGGGGTGCTTTCGAACTGCTGGGTGGGCAGGAGCTGGGACCGAAAGACGGGAGCTCACCCCGCCGCGGGGATTCAAACCGCTGACCATACGATCGGCAAGTCCTAGGCACTGAGGTTTTACCCACAGCGCCACCCGCTTTCCCCTTAGTACTGCTTAATTGTGCTAACAACAATGTTGGAATCGCTCTGGTACTTCTAATTTTAGGAACTTCGTTGGGGGTTTTTTAAATAAAAAAACTGAGTCATTAGTCCTGGGGACACAAATAGTTACATAGATTTTATGCTATGAGCTAGGTTAGGAGTGCATCTTTTTGAGCTTCCTTTCCTTTTTGTTTTTAAAATCGCAGCTGTGTATGAAAGGAAGGACCATAGCTTAGTTTAAGAGCATTTGCTTTGCATGCAAAAAGTCCCAAGTTCCATCTCCAGCTTCTTAAGTTGGGCTGGAAAAGACCCCTGTCTAGAAAACCAGTGCCTGTTAGTGCAGACCAGGGATGAGGCAGCTGTGGCCCTCCCAGGTGTTGCTTGGATTACAGCTCACATCTTCCCAGATCATTGGCCATGGTGACGGAGGCTGATGGGAGGTTCCCCTTCCCTCTTGTAGATGGCACTGAGATAGATGGACCAAAGAGCAGGCTTTGCATAAGGCAGGTTGCTAGGTAACATTGGTTGATGCTGAAATGCCCAAGCCTCCCTATGCATTTTGTATCTGAGCTGCTGTAGCTTAGTGGGTAATAGTTTAAGCTGTGAACTTGCCATATGGCTTTCCTTATCCCAATCCCACGTCCACATCTATAATATGGGAATGATAATACTAGCTTATTGTATTGGGTTAGGTGGTTCTGAATGATTGCTGACCTTTTACATTAAGTTCCTCATGTATTTGAAATTTGCTTGTTTCTGAAAATTATTGTTTTCCCGTGGCTTCTAGAAAGCATTCTACACCCAGGGATGGCACCTTCCTCTGATCTGGATTAGCCAGGATCCACACCAATCTCATTCTCTACAGAGGAAGGGGCCATCCCACCCTCCAGGCCAGCCCTACCTGTGACTGGAGGTCTCTTGGTAATCCAAAAGAGCCCAGTTGGTGTCACTATTTTTTGGTGGTGGAGAGGGGTTGCTTCTTTTGTCCCCTTGTGTATTTTGCCTTCTGTGTTTTTGATGTGCCTTGGTTCTCCATTCGTTGTTGCTTTCTAGTCTGTGTTACCTTTGATCATGTAGATATTTGTGTTCAAGGGGGTAGGGTTTCCCAATTCCCCCTTCCATCTGCAACCCCACATGCTACATCATCCTAAGTCTTTCTAGAAAATCCAGTAAACCTCAAGAATGACTTTTTGCGCATACAGACCACTGGCTGTAGCAGAACGGTGGGGCACAGGAAAGCCCAATACTGTGAACTTTTATTATTCATTAATATTTTGAAATAATATCCCCTGTCCCACCACCTAGCTATTTGACACTAAAATACTTTGGATACCTGAAGTCATGCTTTACTTCATTGTGACTGCTTCTGTTAGACAAGTCAAGAGAAGGGCCAAGTGGAAGATACATGGAAGGAGTTGTACGATGTCAAAACATCACTGACAAGTCTTCCTCTTTCCCTCCCTCCCTCTCTCCCCTTTCTTGTCACCTCCAGGTAACTGACCATGCTACTACTGCCTTACTGCATTACCAGTTGCCTCAAATGCCGGATGTGGTGGTCAGGTCATTTATGGTAAGTTTGATACAAACTCTCTCAACTGGCATAACTTTGCAGTGTAGTTAATAATGGCATGTGGGGTTTTTATGAAAGTCTTGAAAGGCTGTTTTGGCCAAGGCAAGAGTCTGTATCACAAAAGGGAAGCAGCATTGTCTGTTGTTCATCCCCACCCCAGGAAACTGTTGGAAGATTTTGGAAATCTGGACAGGGAGCATACTGGAAACTACAGCCATTGGTGTTTACCAGAGCATGTCTGAAAGTGTATTGGTGGAGCTGTTCAACAATATAATGGGGAGAGAAAACAAGAAGCACAAGCTAATCCTGGCTAGAGCAATTACAGAGTGATGCCTTTTGCCCTTCAAAAATTCCTAGTGTATCTGCTGAAGAATCCTACCCTGGATCCTGTGTCACCTCATTGTATTAATTTACAAGGCCCTTAACAACTTGGGTCCATGATACCTCAGAGACCACCTGAACCTTTATATCCCATGTAATCACTGAGGTATTTGGAGGAGCCACTGTTAGTGGTCCCTCATGGCTCAGATGCACCTTTCATATACACCAGGAGCCAGGCATTCAGTATTGTGAGCCCAAGTCTGTGGAACTCCCTCCCACTTGAGATCAGCAGGCCCCTTTCCTTCTGAACTTCATACGCTTGACAAAGGTTTAGTTATTCCAGCCGTGTTTATAGTTTTAACTCACTTTTAGTCTTATTGCCTTGGGTTCCTATGCATCTCTTAAGAGACCACTGTGATTAAGTGGTACACAAGATGTTGAAATAAATTAGTAAAAACATATAATAAATGGCAAAACTCACTGAGCATCTGACTAGCTAAGCTCCATGTGAATGATGTGCCTTCCTCAGTGTGCCTTCCTTTGAAGTGTCCATTAACTGCCAGTGCACTTTTGACGAGCAGCAGCCAATCATGGCAACTCAGTTCCCCCGCTGCAGCACGCACCTGAAAATTAATGTGCAGAAACTGTGTGGGACACATTTGTCTGAGCCATAAGGTTTGCTGTATTGATTCACTAAAGCAGTTCTGATAACTTTTAACAAATCAACGTCAGGATGTTCACCCCAAGTGCCAATAGCAGTAGGCATTTCGCATATCAGGTGTGCAATCCAGTTGACAGGATGTGGTGAAGTCTTAATTGTCCAGACAAGAATGAAGGACTTCCTTTTTAACCTCCTTTTCCTTCCAGCAAATGTTTTAAGCACACAGTTTGACCTGATTTTCCTTTTTTTAAAAAAAGAATTTCAATATGGTTAAATAATGATAACCAAGTCCAATGAAGCCGGTGTAATCAGCAATTGCCTTGTGCCCTTGTGTTCACTACTGGCCCTGTCTTCACTTCTGCAGCCAGAGAAGGCCTTAAAGAAAGTTATTGATAGGCCACTATATACAAACCGAGAGAGAGAGAGAGAGAGAGCACGTTGGATGAAGAGAGAAGGGTTCGTTTCAATAAATGGAGCCAGCCCCTTCTTCAGAGAACAGTTTTCTCTTATTGACATAATTCAATAGGATTTCAGATGACAAGATTCATGAGCATCCTTCATAGCACAAATCTGTCTGTCTTGGAGGCTTTCTTTCTTCTTCTATAGCTGCATGTCTCCTTGAGCTTCAAATTAAGTTATATAACGTTGCTTCTTACTTAGGGCCATGGGGATGACCTACTTCGGGGGCAAAACCTTCCCCTGGAAACACCTTGCTCAGCATTTGATTTCCTTTGCCCTCCTCCTTCCCCACCTAGTTTGCTGTCTCCTAAGGCCTGAGGGCAGAAAGTGTAGTTTTTAAAATACAGTCTAACCATTTAAAAAAAAGCAGCTGAAGTAGAAAATGTTACTGCCTCCTTGACCTTGACCGTCCAACTTAAGGCCAGGCTGGGTGGAGGAAGAGCACATCCTGTGCACATAGAAGACAGGGTGGGGACTGGCTCTGTTGTTACTGTTTTAGTAGAGGAGATATTTTGCATGATTTTAATATTTACTGTTATAAACATTTTCTTGTTAGCAAACATTTGCATGATGAGTGTGGCACTCCTTGCCTGAAGAAGTAGAAGGAAAATAAACATTGCATAATTTAATTTGCTGAAATGTTTGGGATTTTTTTTTTCCTTCACACATGGCAGGCGGTTCTCATTAAACAAATGCTCCATCCTTGTCTAATGGAGAGCTGATTTAGAGATCTGCTGGCCAGATGTCTAGGAAACAGATGGAAAATCTGCGACACTTTGGACGCTGCTGGACTTCCACCTTCCCTGACCCTGAAGCCAATGGGAATTGGGTTCCACATCTGGAAGGCCCCAGGCCTCCCCATGTTGGGTTTGCGGGACAAGGCTGTATTCCTGCAGAGTGTGTCAGGTCTCCCATAATGGTGTCCCAGACTGAAATACGGGAAGCTGCTGAGTCACACCATTGGTCTGTCTAGTTCAGTATTGTCTATACTGTCTGGCGGGGTCTCTCCAAATCCTACCTGGATATGCCATTGAGTATTGAATCTGGGACATTCTCCATGCAAAGCAGATGATCTAATACCAAGCTATGGCCTTTCCCTATATACTCTGCAGTCTAGAATATATTATTTGTATGCATAAAAGTTTATATTTAACAATCTCTTGGCTTTTGTTTTTGTCTGTCCTTTCAAGGGGCCACTGTATGTATCTTCATTTTCCTTAAGTAGATGCATCTAAACTTCAGTCTGCCCACCTGCAAGTAGGCATTTGGGGTCAATATAGTAAAAAGTATCTCTGTAGAGATAAGGCTATGAACCAGATGCTTTGCATACAGAAGGGCCTTTATTATCCAGCATAACCATCTGGAAGTGCAGAAAATACTCCTGCCTGAAACATAGGGGGTGGGGCCACAGCTGCCAGTTTTTGTCGGCCAGTCTTCCTACCCTGGTGCTGTTGGACTCCAATTCCCATCAGCCCTGGCCAGTATCACCAATGCTCAGGGATGATGGGAGTTGTAGTCAAACAACATTTGGAGGGCTGCAGGTTCCCTGTGACAATAGTGAAACATACAGACCAATAATGTGATTCAGCATTAGGCAGCTTCATGCGTTTCTGTTCCCATCTGTGCCCCGGGAGTTGCAGAAACTGGTGTGCTTTTTATAACTGCAGCTAAAATGGACCTGATCATATTTATTTATTAAATTTATTATATCCTGCTTTTCCTCCCTAAGGAGCCCAGGGTGGCAAATACATGAGTGATAAACAGTTTAATCATCTAAAAACACCTGCAGTACAGAAACAGACTGGGAAATACCTCTATTTAAAATGGTTGTTGAAAGAGGATGGTTTTCATTAGGCGCCAAAGACAACAGAAATGGCATATATCATATTATATATTTCCCCAACATAAGCAGCACTGCCAAACAGACCTGCCCTAAAATTGGCAACTCTTCCTGCTTTCCCAGATTCCTGCCTAGTCATGGCCTTCTTTCTGAACAAGATTTAAATCCATGTTCGCCATGAACAAAATATATCTGCATATATTCTTGCTGAGACTTAAAGCACATGTTTGAAAGGATAGCTGTGAAACTGGTTTTCGAAATGTTTCTGTATGATTTCACATTTCTGAAACATGCGGCTCTTGGATAGATGACGTTTGGATGCAAGAGGCAGACTCTAGCATCTCATAATGAAAAGGTCACTTTTTATGAGCTGAATGGTCAAGCTGAATTTGATTTTGGTCTAGCTGCAAGGAAGTCCAGGCTGTCCATGGTGACCCTTTAGTTACAAATACCTGCTTGTCACTGCAGGAATTTCTGTTTATGTTGTTGCTTATTGAGAGAGGACAGGCATTCCAATAAAGCATACTATCAGCTATACTGTGACCTTGTGGGTTTTTGGTATACTTCCTTCTAAAGTCTGCCTCTCTCTGGGCTCAAGCCAAGATACATTTCCCATCCTCTGCATCATTGGTCTTGACAGAAGTGATGACATTGGGAGTGTCCGTATTAAGTTTCCTCCCTTCTTTCTTTTTCTTTCCGACTTTTTAAGACCTGGTTAAGAAGTTACATAAAGCTGTTCCAGGCTCCATGCCAGCGCTGCGGAAGGTTTCTGCAAGATGGTCTACCACCCACATGGCGGGACTTTCGGACACTGGAGGCGTTCCATGACACCTGTAGGCAGTAGCACAACCTGGAGGCTGACACAAGTCTGTGGAGGAAACAGACTCAGAAGTGGGGTCCCAAGAAACACCTCTTTTGGTTCCAAATATCTGTATGGACAACTCACAACTTAATTTGTATAAATTCAGCTTTATGCACTTGGCTGGGGGGGCGGTGTAAAAATAAACACAGGGTAGGTGTTGGGGGCTGGAAGAGTCGGCAGTCTCACCCATCATTACACTCAGAGGAGCATTTGGAGGTGCAGAGAGAGAGAGAATAATGGCCTTTGTAGTGGCCTAAATTATTGGCAAATAATTTAGAATTTTGATTTCTTTTCTCATATTTATTTTTGTTTCAGATACAGCAGACTTTTTGTTATTTGTTGAATTTCTATAGTTTCCGATTTGTGACATGTAACTTTGATTTGTTTCCTAATTTTTATAGAACCAGTTGGTTTATGGTGCTGTTCTAATTTTTTCAATGCAATATGTGAAGATGTTGCTGTTTGTTTATATTGTTTACATATCTTATTCTTTCCTGCCATACTGCTGCTTTCATAGAACCACGCATCATTTATTCTGCTAAATCTATATCTGCAATAGGTTCAAAATGTTCTGAGATGGTTGTGGGGATGGCTTTGACAGCTAATTGGCTGGTTAGTAATGTAGTGTCAAAATGCCATGATTGTGCGGTTTCATGCATGTTTAAGATAGGAATAGTAGACTAGACTGGAGAAGGCTCAGGTCACCAGGAAGGTGCCGATTTTTGCTTCTTGAATTTAAGTGAAGTGGAGATAAGTATATAATCTGTTCCAACCTCCTGCCCCCCATGCCTTTGTGAGTAGGAACTAGAATCCTTTTCTTTATCCTTCCACTGTTCTTGTGAGAAGCGCAGGCTTTGAACAGAGCCTCCCTTCCTGCCTCAGTAGAGCCTCCGACCCCAGTCCCAGAAAGCTCTGCTTCTCCTTCGCTCTGGTCCAGCCAGCCGCTTTTAATGACTGATGTTTTAATGTATTTTTAATCTTTTATTGGAAGCCGCCCAGAGTGGCTGGGGAAACCCAGCCAGATGGGCGGGGTAGAAATAAAATTTTATTATATTATTATTATTAAACCACCGTACATCAATCAAATCATATTTCTTAAGAAATTTTTAAAGAAAATTAGTTTTTGATTTTGTTTTCTTAATTCATAATGGTGTAGATCTGTCCCAATCAGGATCAGCAGCCCAGTTCAGGTCTCTAACTAGGATTGATTAATCCACCTTCTGCAAAATTTTGAAACTGTTTTAAGTGTGGAGGTCAAAATTAACTGAATTTTATTTGGGGCATACATAGAAGCTAATGTGAAAGTTAGAGGATCTGCATTCCCTTTAAGAAAAATAAAACAGTGCTCTGTTTCTCTTTTAATTTGTTTGCAGAAAAAGGGGAAAGATTTTGAAATAAAATCTGAAATCCATCTTCTCTTCATTTGGTTGCCCAACCATTTAGAATTCAGGATAAAAACTTTTACAGGGTCAGACCTATAAAAATATGTACCTGAAAATGAGATACATTCTGCATCACTATGTAAATAAATATCAAAATTAAACATATAGTAAAAAGATTACCCAACTCCAGATGACAAGCTCATAAATATCGCTTCCAATATACTTGTGTCCCACCAAGGTTCCAAACATGCTAGAAATTAAAAACAGAGAACATTAACAATGAACAATACATAAATTAAAGCAGAATTCCATCATAATCATAGAATTCTGTAACACTTACTATAAGTTATTACTTATTATAAGTTAAGCCCCCCTTTTCTCTGACAGTTTTCATAAATTTGTTTGTAATGAAAATTTTGTCAAGACAATGTCACGAGAAAATGCTGCAATTTTTTTGGTTTAGGAACTAGCGTGCAATAAGCTCTTTTTGTGTTAGAGCAGACATGTTTCACGGGTCAATTGCAATCGACCGGTCGATCATGGGATGGGTTTTGGTCGATCGCACCATGGCTCATAGGAATTGAAAGAGACAATGCCAGCCGGGAGGGCAGTGCGCAGGGAAGCCGTGGAGCCCATGCCACCCTCGTCGCCTCCGCCCGCCGCCCTCTGCCATGGCCACTAAGCGCCCTAACGCTCGCTTGACTGCGGCTGGAGCGACTCCACAGGCGGCATGGCCGGTCAAGGCTTGGCTTAGCTGGGCTTGCTCACCGCCGCAGCAGGTGCTCTGGCTGGCGCTGGCGCTGCCTCTGCCTGCACGCGGCCATCTCAAGCACCTCATTCCTGCTCCAGGTGCTACTGATTTTCCATGCCGGTGAGCAGGTGCTTCGGTGCTCTCTCTGTGCACCGCCCGGTGGGAAGGGCGGTGCACAGAGAGAAACAACGATGCCCCTCCTCCCTCTCCCCCCTCTTGCTGGTTCTCGTGGAAAGAAAAGGCCGGGTTCCCCACCCCTCCCCTCTCCCGCCTAGTTCCTCTGGAACTGATCTAAATCTTTAATTCTGGTGTCTCCCCCTTATTTTCCCAAACATCCACACAGTCAGATCATCCACACAGATATCATAGAAGAGTTTGGATTTTTTTCTGAGTTTTTCACACCCAGTCCCATAGTTTCGGTTGTAATTATTTCTATTGTTTGTGTCTTCTGGATAATTTTTCTAGTTAATTTTAATAGTGTCAAAGGCTTTTTGCCACTCTGAAAGTAAGGCAGTATGTGGATTTTGTACTTTGACATTAGTGCCTCCACACTGTTGGAGAAGCAACATCTCCTAGTACAGGTTTCCTTCTCTGTGGTTTCCGAGGTACCACTGTACTTTGTTCCCACTCTGTTTTTATTTCTAAGATTGTAACAAGCCAGAAAATGAAGACTCACAGTTCTGGGGGATGTTGTTTGCTGCTTCCTTTTGCAAGATCAAATATATCTTTAGAAATATTTAAAGTTTAGTTTAATCCATTGAAATCAGTTGTAAAGACTTTGTAGGGTCAGAGCTGTTCCTTCAAGGTGCTTTTTGGCTCTGCTCATGAATGACCCGCCATGATGATACTGTTTGTGGTCATCATCTAAAGCTTTGAGCTTTCAGGACTGAAACTTTGGGATCAATCACTGTCATCATGATTTCCAGATGCCTGCACAGATGGACTGTGTAGGTTTTGTCAATAAATTACTCATATTTTTATGTGAATTAAAGTTGGCTTTCAACTTCTGTTTTGGCTTCTGTTTTCCTTTTTGCCTGTCGCCCTCTTTGAAGAGGGTCATGGCAGGGGTGCCAACTCATGCAGGCTGAGCCCTTTGGGGGGCAGTGTTTTTTGGGATGGGGCCCGGCCCCTCCAATGTCCAAAAAAATCAGGGGGCAGATGAGGTCGACCATGGAGCAGATAATGGCACAGCTTCAGTGGCTGGCTTCTCATCCTCCTGCTGCCACAGAGGAGAAGGAGGATCAAAGCAACCCCCCACCAGTGGCAGCAGCAGGGGGGGGGAGGAGGATATGCTGACCGGGGGCAGCAGATCCATCCTCCAAAGAATGCATTGCCAGCTACCACTGCCATGGTATGCTCCTTAGAGGGCAGATCTGCTACCTCCTTAGCAGCCCATGCCACCTCTACAGCAGCCTCTTAGCAAGTAGGAAATGTCTTCAGGGAATGGTCAGGGTGGTTGCAGGGAGGTTGGTGTTCCATTTCACAGGAATTCAGGTGTCATTTTTGAAACGGAAAGTTGCTCTCCTTGACTTACAATCCAGATGTGGGAACCCTCTCAAAGCCCTGTTGGCAGAGATAGGTAAATTTTGATTGGAACCCCTTCCCGTTGCAGTGAGAGGCTCCAGCAAAGAATCTTCCTGCCTTTCAGATTTCATCCTGAGAGATTCTAGCTTCCAACCTTTTCAATTCATTCTGTTTAACAAGATCAAAAGCCCAGGCATGCAACGCTCCAGGCATAGTAAAAGTACAAGGTGGGGGCAGCAAGCAAAGGTTATTGGAAAAAAATCGTTCCAAGCAGCCCTTGCCAAAAAGTGTTGCTTTTTCTTTTTTAAGGAAGCGAACGAAGAGAAACTACACATCTTAATAATATGTATCCACCGAGAAACAGTTGGCCTTCTGCCATCATTGGCTATTTAGAGGAGGTCAGCCCATTTTTCACATTCCCGTTTCATTAAAGCATGGAAAGCGTGGACCTTGCCATTGCCTATCTAGTAAACCATAGCTTGGCAAACCAAGAGTTCACAAAGTGCCACAGTGAACCCCTGACAGTTGAGACAAAAGACAAATGAAACCTCCCAAAGCAGAAGGCTTGCACTTTGCTCTTGAGCGTTGAGCTTAGCCGCCACATCTCTTCTGAAATGGTGTCTGATTGGGGGTGACTTTGTGGGGACCAGTCCAGGGACAGGGAAATGGGTGCTTAATGCTTTCCTTGCAACTTCCCTCCCCACCTTGGGATCCCAGGCAAAAGGGTGTGTGGAGCATTAACCTGGCGGCACTCACAAGGATCATAGCCCAGGATAGAGCATCAGCATTGCATGGTGAAGGACCCATGTTCAATCCTCAGCATCTCCTGGTACAGTTTTGAATGCCCCCTGCTTGAAGCCATGGAAAGCCGCTGCTAGTCATTATAGACCAGCAGTGTGCCCCCTCCCTGTTTGGCCAAATCACACCCGTCTGCTCTGTAGGTGGGTCAGGTAAAGATGAGGTAGGGTCAAAGGGAATTTGCAGGCACTGCTTATCAGCTGGTCAGTGGCACCTGAAAAGCCCCTAGAATTCAGAGGTGACTAACCTGAGACCCTCTGGACACTGGGATTCCCAACTCCCATCACCCATGACCTTTGGTCATGCTATCTGGGGTGGTACAAATTGGGAGTCTTTTAAGTAACACCTGGGGAGCCACAGATCAGCAGCTCTTGGGGTAGGTGGACAATGGTTTCACTCCATGCAAGGCAGTTTCCTGTGCTCCTATATGACTCCTGTGTGTCCTGTGTTAGGGGGCTGTGCTATTTCCATTATATGATAAGGGGGAAACCTGTTAAAGTTTACCCAGATACTATCACAGTAAAGCTCCCCCATCTGTTCAGTGTTGGCTCTACTAGTCAGAACACAGGCATAAAATTGATTTTCAGTAGATCCGCATTAAAGGAAGAAATATTTTGGTCTTGTAGACCTTGCAGATATCACAAGTTGCAAAATGCCTTTTTAAGGAAGCCACTTAATTAACTTAAGGCAGGAGTGGTTTGTTTGTTTTTGCAAGCTAGGAACCCTCAGCAGGTATACATATTTCTGCTCCTTTCCCACCTTTCCCCCCCAGCAAGTCTGAGAGTTCCTTTGCTCGCTCACACACACCACAAACCACTTTAATTTCTCTGCTGATATTGGACAAATGTAACAGGCTGGCTTTTTAATTTTCTGCTTTCAGGTCTCCCTTCACCCCTCATGCATTTTTCATACTGACTTTCCGCTCCTTCCCTGCCTGCCCTGTGAACAATATCGATTGGCTGATTAAGCCATCAAGCCACGGCAAACAACTTTTAATTTTCTAACCGGAGGCCTTTAAGTTTGTACTTGTATAGTTGCTGCCCTTTTGGTGTTTCCATTTGAGCCAAAAAAACAACAACCCCACCCCAAAAACCTAGAAGTCTGAGGATCAACAGAATGTAGAAGTGATAGTGTGCATGATAGAAGTATATAAAATGTATGGATAGAGAGAAGTTTTTGCCCCTCATAATATTTGAACTGGGGGACATCCAATGAAACTGAATGTTGGAAGATGTGGTTCTATGAAAGTGCTTCATAACACAGCTCAGAATTAAACCATGTCATTTGCTCCCACAAGGGACAGTGATGCTAACCAACTTGTGAGACTTTAAAAGAGGATTGGACAAATCCATGGAAGGTAAGGCTAGCAATGGCACATGGATATGTTCTCCCTCCATGATCAGAGGCAGTATGCCTCTAAATCATGGGTTGGCAAACTAAGGTATGCGGGCCAAATCAGGCCCAATTGCCTTCTGGATCGTCCTGCAGATGGTCCAGGAATCGCCGTGTGGATCGCCAGCGCACACGTTCTTTCCCTCTCCCTCTCCCTCTCCCTCTCCCTCTCCTTCTCCCTCTCCCTCA